CAATATAATTTACAACATTTGTTTGATATTTTTACATAGAGTTTAGATCTAACTCAAACCAAACACATCAGGACAAACTAATAGAGCTTTGGAATCTACGTCATTGCACATTGCATTCTGGGTAGTCGCCGCCATGTTTTAGGACACGCTCAGGAGCGTACAATGACAACAAATACAAATCACCAGAGGAAAAAAACGTCTGGATTTACGTTAACATTTTTAAAGAGCTGCTTGCACTTGCTTAGAATAAATGGACTAATATTTGAATCCATTGTGTTTATTCGAGCGCTCCGTCATGTGACCAGGACACGTCACATATACTCATAGAAATCATATGGCCGCCTTCTATCGTAACACACACAGGACCAAAATAATTTCTCTTTTGTAGTTTTTAATAACTAAGTGGCACTGACATATATGCCAGATAAAATAATAAACACAATATTGCTTGATCTCAGCCGGTTGGTAATGTATTAATCAACACATATCATCCTATTGCCCCAATTTCTTAATGTAAAGCATTAAAGGGATACCATAACAGCATTACCCTCTAAAATGCAGCTCTGAAATGAATTGTATTGTGGGAGCGCTACACCAAATATGTTTTAAAGGACTTAAATCAAAGAAATACACAATTTCTTAGAGAGAGAAGCTGAACAATGAATCAAATGAGCGCTGCTTATGAGCAGTGATCACAAACAAGTTGTATCACAAATAACATTTCTAAACGTGATTTCATACATTACTCATGGCGTGAGCAAGTACATATTCAAGCGGATCAGAAATTATTAAACTGTAATAAATAATACAGAGGACAAAGCCACATTTGGTCAAGTTGTTTATTTTCATTGAGTTTGAGCAAGCGTTCTCCATTCTAATGTGTTTTTAACTGTATAATACACATTTTAGCATCTACCTCCACTATTTCCCAGTCTCTACTGCAGTGTCGGTGTCCTAAAGTCCCAGAATGCACTGCGCTGCCGACGTCAGGTTCCCATTCTCTATTAAGCTGTGCATTACATGCAAATGACAGACAAGTTAAACTGGACTGGTACTGAAGTCTAGAAAATAGTGGTCTTAGACATTGTATTACGTTGAATATCAAAGGTTTGTGTATCTGTTAATGAGTGATTTGTTGACACATCAATGTTTTTGTATTTGATGAGTAAAAATTGTAGATTTTATCTTGAGGTAAAAAGATCAAATGAGCCACTGGAATTGGCACAAAGGCCCAGAGTGTCTCCTAGTTTTATTACTTTCATACTAATGTTACTAATTCGATAGGTATTGTAACTGATTGGGTTAATAATTAATATTTCCGTGAATTAGATGTACATTACAGACATTTTTGTTTCCATAGATTTATGGGTTAATTGAGTTAAATCCACAGATTTTCTGCTGACCAAAGATGAGGACCAGACATGAGAGTCAGAAACAGACTCGAAGCCTCCGGATGAGGCCTAGTATGTGCTTCAAGCTGGCCAAAACAGAGACTGTATGAAACACTTCACACGTCCCTCAGTGATGCTCATTTCATTAAAGTGACTTTCAAACTGTTTGCTGAACTCACAGAGGACGATTTCAGTATTTATCAAACTTTTCAGTTAAACATAGCATCAAATTTACACGCGGGTTTTCCCCGTGGCTGCTGCTCGCCTTTGATTCGTTCTGATAGGGACAACATAAACATTTCCTCGTCGCGTCTTTTAGTCTCCAAAGAAAGCTGGAAATCTCTGATTGTTGTTCACTTTGATTCTACTGCCGTAAGCTACTTTACCTATTCAGTTTTGCCCAAAAGTAAAGGGAAGAAAACACAAGCGTGGGGCGCTCATTATGGCGCACAGACTTCAAGCGGGCAGGTTGAGTCTAGAAGGTTCTCATGTGTTATTTAAGAGCGCAGCGCCGCCCGGTCAGTTCTCATTGCTGAACTAAGCGTTTGAACACCTGTAAATCCGCTGAGAGTAATGGCAGAAACCGCCCCAGCTGCTGCCGCCCCGCCGGCCAAAGCACCCAAGAAGAAGTCTGCAGCTAAAGCCAAGAAAGCAGATGAGAGAGATGAATATGTACATATTTAATTGACAATATTTTAATTGACAATATGTCATACTAGCAACACTATTAAAAAAAAAGCTTTATAATGAATCATATAATTAAATAACGTCACATTGTCATTTTGTTATATTTTGATTTAACTACTATTAAATGCTAATTCATAAAATAGCAATATAATTTACAACATTTGTTTGATATATTTACATAGAGTTTAGATCTAACTCAAACCAAACACATCAGGACAAGCTAATAGAGCTTTGGAATCTACGTCATTGCGCATTGCATTCTGGGTAGTCGCCGCCATGTTTTAGGACACGCTCAGCAGCGTACAATGACAACAAATGCAAATCACCAGAGGAAAAAAACGTCTGGATTTACGTTAAAATGTAATAAATGTACTAATATTTGAATCCATTGTGTTCATTCGAGCGCTCCGTCATGTGACCAGGACACGTCACATATACTCATAGAAATCATACGGCCGCCTTCTATCGTAACACACACAGGACCAAAATAATTTCTCTTTTGTAGTTTTTAATAACTAAGTGGCACTGACATATATGCCAGATAAAATAATAAACACAATATTGCTTGATCTCAGCCGGTTGGTAATGTATTAATCAACACATATCATCCTATTGCCCCAATGTCTTAATGTAAAGCATTAAAGGGATACCATAACAGCATTACCCTCTGAAATGCAGCTCTGAAATTAATTGTATTGTGGGAGCGCTACACCAAATATGTTTTAAAGGACTTAAATCAAAGAAATACACAATTTCTTAGCGAGAGAAGCTGAACAACGAATAAAATGAGCGCTGCTTATGAGCAGTGATCACAAACAAGTTGTATCACAAATAACATTTCTAAACGTGATTTCATACATTACTCATGGCGTGAGCAAGTACATATTCAAGCGGATCAGAAATTATTAAACTGTAATAATACAGAGGACAAAGCCACATTTGGTTGTTTATTTTCATTGAGTTTGAGCAAGCGTTCTCCATTCTAATGTGTTTTTAACTGTATAATACACATTTTAGCATCTACCTCCACTATTTCCCAGTCGCTACTGCAGTGTCGGTGTCCTAAAGTCCCAGAATGCACTGCGCTGCCGACGTCAGGTTCCCATTCTCTATTAAGCTGTGCATTACATGCAAATGACAGACAAGTTAAACTGGACTGGTACTGAAGTCTAGAAAATAGTGGTCTTAGACATTGTATTATGTTGAATATCAAAGGTTTGTGTATCTGTTAATGAGCGATTTGTTGACACATCAATGTTTTTGTATTTGATGAGTAAAAATTGTAGATTTTATCTGGAGGTAAAAAGATCAAATGAGCCACTGGAATTGGCACAAAAGCCCAGAGTGTCTCCTAGTTTTATTACTTTCATACTAATGTTATTAATTCGATACATATTGTAACTGATTGAGTTAATAATTAATATTTCCATGAATTAGATGTACATTACAGACATTTTTGTTTCCTTAGATTTATGGGTTAATTGAGTTAAATCCACAGATTTTCTGCTGACCAAAGATGAGGACCAGACATGAGAGTCAGAAACAGACTCGAAGCCTCCGGATGAGGCCTAGTATGTGCTTCAAGCTGGCCAAAACAGAGACTGTATGAAACACTTCACACGTCCCTCAGTGATGCTCATTTCATTAAAGTGACTTTCAAACTGTTTGCTGAACTCACAGAGGACGATTTCAGTATTTATCAAACTTTTCAGTTAAACATAGCATCAAATTTACACGCGGGTTTTCCCCGTGGCTGCTGCTCGCCTTTGATTCGTTCTGATAGGGACAACATAAACATTTCCTCGTCGCGTCTTTTAGTCTCCAAAGGAAGCTGGAAATATCTGATTGTTGTTCACTTTGATTCTACTGCCGTAATGTAGATTTTATCTTGAGGTAAAAAGATCAAATGAGCCACTGGAATTGGCACAAAGGCCCAGAGTGTCTCCTAGTTTTATTACTTTCATACTAATGTTACTAATTCGATAGGTATTGTAACTGATTGGGTTAATAATTAATATTTCCGTGAATTAGATGTACATTACAGACATTTTTGTTTCCATAGATTTATGGGTTAACTGAGTTAAATCCACAGATTTTCTGCTGACCAAAGATGAGGACCAGACATGAGAGTCAGAAACAGACTCGAAGCCTCCGGATGAGGCCTAGTATGTGCTTCAAGCTGGCCAAAACAGAGACTGTATGAAACACTTCACACGTCCCTCAGTGATGCTCATTTCATTAAAGTGACTTTCAAACTGTTTGCTGAACTCACAGAGGACGATTTCAGTATTTATCAAACTTTTCAGTTAAACATAGCATCAAATTTACACGCGGGTTTTCCCCGTGGCTGCTGCTCGCCTTTGATTCGTTCTGATAGGGACAACATAAACATTTCCTCGTCGCGTCTTTTAGTCTCCAAAGAAAGCTGGAAATCTCTGATTGTTGTTCACTTTGATTCTACTGCCGTAAGCTACTTTACCTATTCAGTTTTGCCCAAAAGTAAAGGGAAGAAAACACAAGCGTGACATGAGAGTCAGAAACAGACTGGAAGCCTCCGGATGAGGCCTAGTATGTGCTTCAAGCTGGCCAAAAGAGAGACTGTATGAAACACTTCACACGTCCCTCAGTGATGCTCATTTCATTAAAGTGACTTTCAAACTGTTTGCTGAACTCACAGAGGACGATTTCAGTATTTATCAAACTTTTCAGTTAAACATAGCATCAAATTTACACGCGGGTTTTCCCCGTGGCTGCTGCTCGCCTTTGATTCGTTCTGATAGGGACAACATAAACATTTCCTCGTCGCGTCTTTTAGTCTCCAAAGGAAGCTGGAAATATCTGATTGTTGTTCACTTTGATTCTACTGCCGTAAACTACTTTACCTATTCAGTTTTGCCCAAAAGTAAAGGGAAGAAAACACAAGCGTGGGGCGCTCATTATGGCGCACAGACTTCAAGCGGGCAGGTTGAGTCTAGAAGGTTCTCATGTGTTATTTAAGAGCGCAGCGCCGCCCGCTCACTTCTCATTGCTGAACTAAGCGTTTGAACACCTGTAAATCCGCTGAGAGTAATGGCAGAAACCGCCCCAGCTGCTGCCGCCCCGCCGGCCAAAGCACCCAAGAAGAAGTCTGCAGCTAAAGCCAAGAAAGCAGGTCCAGCTGTCGGTGATCTGATCGTTAAAGCCGTGTCTGCGTCCAAGGAGAGGAGCGGCGTGTCTCTCGCAGCCCTGAAGAAAGCTCTCGCTGCCGGCGGCTACGACGTGGAGAAGAAAAACTCCCGCATCAAGCTCGCCATCAAGAGCCTGGTGACTAAAGGCACCCTGGTGCAGGTCAAAGGAACCGGCGCCTCCGGCTCCTTCAAGCTCAACAAGCAGCAAACCGAGACCAAGAAGAAGCCGGCGAAGAAAGCGGCTCCTAAAGCGAAGAAGCCCGCGGCCAAGAAACCCGCTGCTGCCAAGAAGCCCAAGAGCGCAGCGGCAAAGAAGCCCGCCGCTAAGAAATCGCCCAAGAAGGCCAAGAAACCCGCTGCAGCCGCTAAGAAGGCGACGAAGAGCCCCAAGAAGGCAAAGAAGCCCGCAGCGCCTAAGAAAGCAGCCAAGAGCCCCAAAAAGGCCAAGACTGCAAAACCCAAGGCGGCAAAGCCTAAAGCTGCCAAGCCTAAAAGGGCAGCTCCCAAGAAGAAGTAAAAAAACACTGTTTTATTCCCCAACGGCTCTTTTCAGAGCCACCCACTAACTCTAAAGAAAGCAATTTATTTTGTGGAAGTAAGGTTTAGGTTAAGAAACGTAACTAATTTGTACCACCATTGTACTTTAAAAACAACACATTAAATGAAACAACATCACAATCCATCAACAACTCATTCACCACCGTTGTAAGCTGCAGTCAACACAATAAATAACTGAGCAATGAATACAACAACACAATTATTTCATATACACATTACACACAGCAGTACAGATAAAAGACCTTATAAATCGTTCTGTAGAACACAGGCATTACTAATCTCCCACTAAATGAACTCTGAAGTACTAAAAATACCATCTAGTGGATGTCCTTCAAAGTACAAAATCAGTTTCAATTTTGCCCTTGTTCTCTTTTCCACAAAAACCTCAAGAGAATCTGTAGTAAAAGCAATAATTGAACCGGCCTTTCTGATCATTTTATTATTCCTCTTCTTATCATCCACAGTGATATTAGCTCCCCGGCAGAGCACTGCATATAACAGAAAACTGGTCAGAATTCCCTGATAGAAGACATAAGAAGCTTTCTACTAATACCAATGGAATTTAACTTCATCAGAAATAATCATCTTGACTGTTTTCTTAAAGACAACCTCTGTTCTTTCTCCAGTTTAATTTACCGTCAAAATGGATGCCATGACTGTTACACCATGTAACAAAAAGCTCAACATCTCTTCTATTGTCCAAATCATTATTTTGTTTGATTAGACCCACAGGTTCAGTGTCATCAGAACACTTTTGTAGACAGCAAGATGACTGAGTATGCCTAAAATCTGAAGTACACAGTGCAAATAAAAAAGGTGACAAAAATATAAAATAGAAGAGTATATCTGAGTTTTCCTCGACTCACAATGTTTTACATGTTGACTGTGTATTTAGACAGTTATTAACATATTTTTTATATCAACAGCTTTAATAGATCATATATCTTAATTTAATTAGGGTAAAAACATTATTTAAAATGCTTTTTGCCTTGGCAATTATTTTCAATATATATTTCACAATCCGACCGCCAGCTGTGGAGGCGTGGCTTCGGCGGTCGGTGTTGGAGAGAAGCTCAGTGATTGGTTTGAAATCTTACAGACTCTAAACCAATGGGCGACTCGCATGCTCTTTTAAATACAGTAGAGCGTTGTTCGTTTGTTAATTTTTGCTGTGCAAACATATACGTTTTTACAACCAACTATGAGTGGTAGAGGCAAAACCGGTGGCAAGGCGAGAGCGAAGGCAAAGAGTCGTTCATCCAGAGCAGGACTGCAGTTCCCCGTCGGTCGTGTTCACAGGCTTCTCCGCAAAGGTAACTACGCACAGCGCGTCGGTGCCGGAGCTCCCGTTTATCTGGCGGCTGTGCTCGAGTATCTTACCGCTGAGATCCTGGAGCTGGCTGGAAACGCAGCCAGAGACAACAAGAAGACCCGCATCATTCCCCGTCACCTGCAGCTGGCGGTGCGTAACGACGAGGAGCTGAACAAACTTCTGGGCCGAGTGACCATCGCTCAGGGCGGCGTGCTGCCCAACATTCAGGCCGTGCTGCTGCCCAAGAAGAGCGAGAAACCCGCCAAAGCCAAGTAAACCGATTCAAGGTTGAAACCCAAAGGCTCTTTTTAGAGCCACCCATTTTATCTCTTACAGAGCGCATTTATTTGCTTTATACAGTCTGGTCAGCACAAGTTGTGCGTTGGTTATTCAAACCAAGCTATAAACCATTGTTTAACGTATAAGCAATGAGTGTTTAACTTCTAAAATACACGGTTCAGAAAAAAGTCGATCTTGGTGTTTTATTTATTTTTTTGCTAACAAGCATATTTCAATACTGAAGCCACATTTTCAAAACTATTCACACATTCAGCGCTACAGAAGTCTATGCTAAACAAACTGAATCGTTTTTCATTGCTTTCCGGCAATGCGTTCAATGGCCACATTTTTCAAAATCCACAAACTTGTCATTCATACCCCAAAATCTAAAAACGACCCAAAAAAAAATCACAAAACTTTAAGCACATTTCTTTTCAAATCCTAACACTGCTTTCAAAACTGATAAACACATTCAAATCAATGATGGCAAACTCTCAATTTCTGCAGGAATTTTTACTTTTTACTTTACTTTTAGTCATTTAGCAGACGCTTTTATCCAAAGCGACTTACAAATAAGAAAAAGTAATTAAAACTAAAAGCTAAAACTCTATAAATTCTATATATATATATATATATATACACACACATTTAAGAAAATAAAATAAATTCAATAAAAATTACAAATGCATACAACAACATTTCAAAACGAAAAAAAACAACAACTAATCCAACATGATTATTAGCAGTGCATGATCTTGCAACAAGACCATTTAATAAGCTGTTCATTTAAGGGTAGGTAGTTTTTGTTTGGTTGTAATCACTGATCTATATAATAATATATAATAATTCTCTATAACAGACCGGTGGTTGTAATGCTTTTATTCAGGCGAAAATATTGTATATTGTTTCAATCCGAGCTCGACACAATCATTAGACATTATGTGAACAAAGAAATCGACCAAAAAGAGTATAAAGAGGAGCAATAATGTGTATGTAACGAAGCGTTTGTTTTACTCGCGAAAGATGTAAACAGAACAAAGCATTTTGAGCGGGAAACACACAGTCCCTCCTCCGTCTGTTTGAAAACTAGAAACGCGCAGTCATTGGCTATCAGTCATGCGCAGACGTCATACTTCAGCCAATCACAAGCTTCTGCACCCTCGCGACACCATCCTGAGATGCTTTAAAAGCAGCTATGTTGCAAAAATCGTTACAGTCAACGTTCGTAGCTTAAAGCAACTAAACTGCAGCAATGGCACGAACCAAGCAGACCGCTCGTAAATCCACCGGAGGTAAAGCCCCGAGGAAGCAGCTCGCTACTAAAGCCGCCCGGAAGAGCGCCCCAGCCACCGGCGGCGTCAAGAAGCCCCATCGTTACAGGCCCGGGACCGTGGCTCTCCGAGAGATCCGCCGCTATCAGAAGTCCACCGAGCTGCTGATCCGCAAACTGCCTTTCCAGCGTCTGGTGCGAGAAATCGCTCAGGATTTCAAGACGGA